ACAGAGTTCAAAACCCCGCGCTCATAGATGGCTTAAAAATTAGTGTTTTATTTTTCTGATACTTCAAATCGATACTACTAGTTTTAGTTAATGATATCACATATATGAACATTGCGGAACTACATAAGCCATTATTGTGTATTAAGACGCATGTAAGGAAGACCCTAATAATTTAATAATGTCCGTATATATATTTTTTGTAGTAATATACCAGTTGCGCTAAATGTTCTGATGCTAATATGGATTGCCGGTTGGTCGAACGGAAGGCTGCATGCCCCGCAGCTTTGCTGCTTAGAAAGCTTCTCTGCCCATATTACACTTACCTCGGTGAATGGTTGCACTGAAAGTGGGATAAATGTGTGATTGGATCGATTGCGCGATTGACTAATAGCAAGCCGGTGTTGAGCACCGCTTGAACCGTTGTATGGAAAACCTTCGCTCGAATCACTGCAGCACAGTTTCGCGTGTTGAATTGCCTGCGCCGGGTCTGGTCCGGTTATATATCAAGTATGCCGGTTGCCTTGATCCGATATGCACCGATATGCGTAAACTTGTATGTGTGTGTGGCTATATATGGTTGATTGCTTGACAGCTGCCGCTTGAGTGATTAACTTCACCATCAGCATTGACGATGTGATATCGTTGACCGATCTTGAATTGCATGCGGTGATGCGATGACGGTGTTCGAAAACTGGCTGTGCGCGAAGAAAAGTCGCCCAACTGCTGTCGCTGTGCAAATTTTATTTTGCAAAATATAGTTTACAACGACAACTGTTGTTTTTGTAATAGTTAACTTAAGTTTCAACTAGATCAATCGCCTATGCGGCATGAGTGAATGTGCGCAGCGGTGTATATAGGTGTGCGTGCGCGCGCATGTGTGGTGGTTTCGCATAAACAGCGCGCGTTCCACTCCATTTCCCTGACGTTATGAGCGTACGTCAAGAGCGCTGGCAGGCGCAGGCGCAAACGCGGAAGAAGACGAAGCGACGTGGTGGCGGCACACTTACATTCGCCTACACTGCCACTCCAACGCTTCGAATCGAAATAATAAAAATCACAACAACAATAACAACAGTTGAAAAAACAACTAAGCGCTGATTTTTATTGTGCTGCTGACGTCTGCTCTACAATATTTTGTTGTATTTAGCCGAAGCGCAGTCGCTGTCACAGTTGACGCTTCTTTGGAATGCGCTGCTTTCGCTAGCGCAACATTATTGTTGTTGTTGTATATCTGTTGACTCAGCGCTGGCTCTCCGCTACTCTATAACAGCAGCGCAGCTTCCCACGGCGCTCTCCCAACTGTTGCTCACCCTGCTGCGCCACATACCGGTTTTATTGCTGCGGCGAACTGTTTGCTGCCCGCATTTGTAGCACTCACTCTTTTCTACTGCTTTTTTTTTTTTTTGTGTGCGCTTCGCTCTTTACAGCTCCACACGGCCACTCAAGTTACTTGCTGCGTATTCGGAGATTTCGCGCTGCCCAGCTGACAGCCACAAGCATTGAAGCTAAGGGACCAGAGGGGAAACTACAAATAACACAAAACATTAAATGAATAGTAAGAACAAAAATAACAAAAAATCTGCTTGATCCACGCCGCGAACAATCACCGGGGAGCGCTTGCCGAGTTGTGCGCGTTGCGCCGCGCTGTGCTCCAAGTGAAGCGTAGTCTACAGAGTAGAAGAAGAAGAATAGAAAAAAAAATAAAACAGAAACTGTAAAAAGTAACAACAAAAACAGTCAGCATTCACTGTGAATGTGATTTTTCAATTGTTTGTGGGTGCGGAGCTTATGGAGGGGCGCAGGCGCTGTGAACAACGCGGCTGATTTGTGGCAACCAAACTCAATTGTAAGGCAAGCGAGTGACAGACGTTGCTTTGTTGTTAGTGTGTTGTTGGTATTGCTTGTAGAAGGAAACAAATAAGAAGGAAGCAGTAAAGTACCGACATTGTGACAGACGTAGGCAGCATTGCGACAACAACAATAAATAAAATCAGCAAGAAATGTTTGGGGAACAATGGCACGAAAGACGGCAATACAATAAATACACACACACCTACAAACATATATATTGTATAGCGTATATATCAAATGCCAACTATGGGAAACAAAACAACCGCAAAGCCAAAGCAAAAAAAAAAAGCAAGAAACATAAAACAAAAAGTCAAAGAAATCACAAATAGCAACAACATCAACATATGTACAAAAGCTTTTATGTAGTCGGATTTTGTGTACAATGGGAATTATGGCACAACAAAACCATCAAAGACCGCTAAGCGTCGTGTAGGAAACAAACCACGAACTTCCTCCCTTTGTTGCTAAATTAATTGTTGTGATATTTTATTTACTTCTTTATTATGGCGTTCATTTCGCAGTTGCTGTTGTTATTGTTGCTGCAACTTACTTTCTTGCCATTTTAAAGCTCTCACCAAACATTGTGCGATGACTCATTGCGTTTTAGTTGGAGTTACTAGCAACTTCGTCTACAATAACACTCACACACACACACTTACAAAGCAATACTAAGTTGAGCATTACCGGCTTGCGGTCTTGCAACAAACAACACTGTGCTTGTGCTTCGAAAACAAAGTGGCAGTAATGAATAATACCGGTTGTACCGCAACTTCGACACTCTACGACTTCGTTTTGAGGTTAACCGGGTTTTCATTTCATAGCTTTCATACTGTGATACATAAGAATGAGATATCCTATCGCTGGCTTTCAGATTCTCATTACTTTGAGGTTAAACTGGATCCTTTATCACACTAGCTTAATTTCTGGACATATTAATGAGTTTACTATATAAGTCTTCACTACCAAAAATGAAAGGAAGTCTATCATAGGCTCAGATAAAAGAAAATTCCTAAAAAATAATATGAAATAAAAAAATACCAATATGATTCAGTAGGTCGTTGGGACTCAAGTTAATATAAGGTCTAGATAAAGCAAATCCATTATTTTTTCAATAGATGGATTTAGTAATCTATATCTCGCGACTGGGTTACTTTATACAGCGTTAGATAGACAAGTGGCCAAGCAAGGGTAGATGGTTAGGAAGATTTTTCTTTATGTTTGGTGAGATTGGCAAGGAAACACCTACTATGAGCTACTTTCCAAGGCCAAACTTTTAATTTGGATCTGTACTGTTTACACTTGGACAATTGAAGAAAGCAATCACCCAGAAACGACCAACTTTGGCTAATAGGAAAGGAATGGTCTTCCATCAGCGCAAAGCCAGAGCACAAACATTAATATTGACTCGTTCCGGAAACTTGGTTGGTCGGTTTTTTGCAAACACTTTGTCGCACGGATTTGGCACCAAGTAGATGGAGGTTTCTATAAGAGCGACATCATGAAAATTCCATTAAAATATCAACAAGTTATGAAACTGAACGGTGCATATAAAATCGTATCATTCTAACTATAATAATGGATTTCTGTTTACTAGACTTTATTTAACAAATTCTGACGTTATTGTTCGCTGTTAATAAAGGCAAAAGAGGTACTCACAGTTGTACTCTCTAGTTACCCTTGGCTTTCATACTTTGTCAACTCTCATGTCTGTCTCATTTCTGATAAAATGTTAAGTCATATTGGTCAAAAGTCCGCCTTTATCTGACTTTCCTACGTGTATTTTTCTACTCGCTATGATTTAGCTCTGCTCTTCTACAAAGATTTACATGGAAAATAGCAGAAAAGTTACTCAGCTTAAATCTATGAAAGTATATGGTAATTTCTCATCAAATTAATATACGGTAGACGCTCACATTTCCTTTCTTTATTATTATGCCAAGCTATTGCATTAAATACAGTTTGTTCGATTCGCTACTCTCTAAGGCAAAAGTCCGAATTTTTTATTTTTAATACGCTTTTTTATACTTCACATCCTCTATAGAAAGAAAATTGTATAACTCTCATACAACTCACACAAAAATCACTAAAAATTCAGAGAAAGTTATAAATCTGCCCCATCACATCATATTACTTAACATATCCTTTTATTTACGTTAGCTTGCCGCTTGACTTATTGAAGCGCATTCCTTCGGCTTAAATCTATTGAAATTCTCATTAATTGCATCCTGCGCTTGTATCTATTTAACTCGTACTTTTGTTTGTGTATTCTGTGATAACTGATTCCGGGAATATACAAAACACTTAATGCGCTGCTCTGGATCACTCTCTTACTTCCTGTCCTGCTCTCCGGCGTCCAATCAGTCGCAGTCTTGCTTATATTGAAGCGAGGGTGGTTTCCACGGCGCTTATTGGATTTTCTTTCTTTTCTTCTCTGCCTTGCTTTTGTATATTTACGCCTACAAAAAGAGCTCGAAAATAGATGAAATAAAAACGATAAAAATAAAAGAAAACCGCCGCACGCATTTAGACAACTCGAGTCTGAGTTTATGAGCATGAATGAAAAAAATAAACATTTCCAGCGGCAGTCAAACAATTACGATGAACGTGAGCGCAATGGTGACTCGAGACGGCACAGTTGTTTTTATTGCACAGAGCCAAGAGTTTGTGATTTGCCGATGAGCGTGGCGATTATGCTGATCGTCGGTTGCTTAGTTGAGTTATGAACGGTTGGTGCGGCGCAAGCGTTTGTGAGATCTTTAAGATATAAAATCTGTGGCACATCAAAAAATAAAGAAAAGTGAAAAAGTAAATGTTAATGGTTTAGAAAAGTAATATATATAGTATACGTATATATGTATGTATATATTTACAACATATTATTGAAAAATATTGTGTGTCTCTGAAAAAATGTGGAAAAAAACCATTCAAATTCATAATGAACTGTAAAAATGCGTGCTTTAGGCAATTAGATGCCGCCGCATCAAAAATTCCACGCTTAAATTAGTAACACAAATTTCTATATTAAACGCATTTACTTATCGCTTACCGGTTTTCTACGCTTCTGCTGGAGAAATGTGAAATATTTTTGTCTGGCTAGTAATGTGTGTTATTTATATATTCAATTTTTGTTTTGTTTTGTTTTCTTACAGTTAGTATAAGCGCGTAGTTACAGCAGCTAGACGACTACAGGTATTTAAAGGTGTATAAGAACAACAAAAAAACCAAAACTAACAAAGTGAAAATACAAAATACTAACAGAAAGCCGAAATATTAACGCAGCACGACAAAATCAACGAGCTAATGAAGTGTGTTAAAAGCGGAATGAAGCGCGTTTTAGTAGTGAAATAGTGAAAACAACAACAAAAAAGTGAGTTAAAAAAAATTGTGTGCTCAAACTGTGCGGCAAAAGTGTTGACAGCGTTCGAAAATTAGTGAAAAATGCTGAAAACGGAAATAGAGGTAAAGGAAAATGGTAAATTAGTGGGCTGGAAAAATTTGAATAAATTTAAAAAAATATTAAAATGAAATATTTATGATAAATATTACTAAGCACTTAGAAATACAACAAAACAGCTTAAATAATTAAATTTTATTACAAACATTGCATAATATACATAAAAAACGCTTAAAAGTATAGGCCAAATTTAAAAACAAAAATAATTTATTTATATACATTTATTTATATAAATATATTTTTTTAACTATTATTGGAAACTAAAAAGAGGCAAACAGAGCTTAAATATTATTTTTAATACTTTTCTACAAAAAACAATTAAAGCCATAAAAAATAAAAAATTTAATGTAATTAATATATATTCCACACAAATAAACATGATACACATATTTTCAACGTAAAAAAATTAAATGGGAAGCGCTTGCGCGCCTTTAAAAAATATTAATGAGAAAAAAATCAAAAAAAATAACACTTAGTGGAACAAAATATTGAAAATAAGTGTGGGAAAAAATATTTTTAAAAATACCAACAAATTGCTATAAAAATAATTATGAATATCTCGCTCTTTATAGTGCAACAACAACAAACATTTATTTTTTCTATTGTTTATATTAATAATGTATAAATTATTAATTAAAAACAACTAAAAAGCAAAGAAACAGATGGTAAACTATAAAAAGACAACAAAAATAAGAAAAATAATATATAAAAAAGAAAAATATTTATATAGAAAATACATACCAATTATAAAAATTAGACAAAAATTAAATTCTAAAATGTTGAAAATTTTATTAAGAAAAAGTAACAAAATATGTAATAATAAATAATAAAATAAAAATTGAATGCAAAAAAATGTGAGACACGAAATATTTAACAAAAAATGCTATATTTTTTTTTTAAATTTTATTACATATAAACATTTTTTTTTACAAATTGATATTAAAAAAGTTATGTATAATAAATAAAGAAATAGAAAATAAATAAATATTAATAAAAAGAAATCTAAAAATTCGATGAAAGATTGTGGAATACGAAACATTTGACGAAAAGTGCTTTAAATTATATTTTTTTATATAAAAAATATTTTATACTTAAATGTAGTTAAAAACAACAAAATATTAAAAAAAAAGTTTAATAAAAAATCAATATTAAATGTAAAAAAATATTTTACAAAATATGAGTAAAGAAATTTAACAACTAAATAAAATAAAATTTTGATTAAACAAAAATTGAAAACGCAAGAAAATAGAAAAGGGTATCTAAAATATTGCTCAAAAATATTTTTTAAAAACGTCACTGGCATTGCAAAGTTTAGCTGATGACAAGCAATCAGCAGCGTGTCAAGTCAACAATACGGTGCAACAACAATAAAACAATTGAAATAAACCTAAAGTAAATAAATAAAAAAAACTCACACTCAACAAAAAAGAAAAAATTGTTAAAAAGAAAAACGGCTAAAAAAATAATAATAACAACAGCAACAACAAACACTGTCGACAATCCATCAACACAGCAATTTTTCAATTCGCTCACCAAATTCAAAAGTGCGAGTGCAGCCAGCGAAACAACAATAACAACAAGCGATAGCACCGTGTGACCGACCTACCGCACGCATACAATCTCACACTCGAGCAAGCATACACGCGGATAGCAGATAGAAGGCAACAACAGCAACAACAACAAGCAGCAGCGGCGGCTAGTTTATTTGGCAATCGTTGAACCTGCAACGGCGCATCAACTGAGGTCAGTAACACCACCGACTACAAGTCACGTTTGTTTACCTCATAAAATACACACACATAGAGCAAATTTAGTAGTAAAAACTTGCAAGCAGACATACTTATATATACATATGTTTATGTACATATGAATGTATATACCTATGTGGATAGATGGCGCGCGAGCGCTTGTGTCCATATAAGTTGAAGGCAGATAAACCATAGTTGGGCACTGCCTTTGAATTTGGCATCCACACCCACAAATCATTTGCGCTACACAAGCACGTACACAGTCACACATACATGCAAGCAAACTGAAATAGATATATGCGAGTTGGTCACATGTGTGCCACCATCTGCAGGCCATGCGTCGCCAGCGCGTTACTCAATAGCGCGACTTTGTTGTTGTGTTGTTTGTATTTTTATCTTTATTTTCATTTTTCTATATTTGTTTGTTCTTTATTTGCGCGCTGATTTGAAATTTCGCTTTCAATCCGAATTCCAATTTCGAAATATCAACAGCGCACGAGCAGCCGCGCTATTTCTGGTTCAACGCTTGCTCCACTCGTCAGCCAGCGCCAATTCGCCTGTGTCTATATGTGTATGCATGTGTGTGTTGTTATTGTTGCAATTACTTTGACTCACTTTATGCGCACATTTTTCGCAATTTTAATTTTATAACTTTTTTGCCTTTGATTTTTGATTGGAAGTTTTTATGCGATTTTGTTTTTCATAGTCGAGGCACACACATCCCTCCATGTGAGTACATAAATTTGAAGTATGCATTGCCCTTTACTCACATTCGCCATGTGGGCTTCTGGTACACGCCCCAATGCGCTTCGATTTGGCGAACTGTGTCCGCGTGCGTCGCGTTTCGCATCTCTAGGGGCCTTAAGTGGTCCAACGGCGCATATGGCAACTCGCCAGCGATTTCAATTCAATATCACATATGTCGCGCTTTCCGCAGTGAAGCGTGTTGTGGTGCACAGTGTGTTGAGTAGTAAAATTTTTTGTTTAAATGTGTGAAAAGATGAAAAAATATTCTGTATAAAATAAATTTTTGAAATTAAATTAATAAAACTTTTGTTATTTGCAAGACTACCATTTTAGGTGTGCGTCTTGGATAAATCATATTAACAGTCTTAACATGTATAGATTTAATAATAAGTTTCATATTTTGTTCGGGAAAATAGTTTCAGAGATAGCATTTTCTCGAACGAAATTTTACGAGAAATTCTCGAAGCTGAACTGATCAATTGAAATTTCATACGACCTTTAAAACATTTATCAAGTAATCGAAGGAATCGATTTTTAAATAATTTCGATTAAGCACTCTGAAGTGTAAATTTCAACAAAAAGATATGATAATATTGTCAAATTCCAAATTTTTACTTGTTCTTCGATAATTACCGTATCTTTTTAAAATTATTATAAATTTTTGAGTTTTGAATTTTAGAATAAGTTCAAAATTCTTTTAAACCGCTAGACACCATTTTCGAAGGTCAGTAGAATACATTTACCAAATAATTTCGATTTTTGAAAGCCATTTTTCAAAACACGTTTTGACTAGTTATTAATCATATCTGTATTCAACTATAGCAATCAAAATTTTTGGTTTTCCGATTTGAGATAATTTTATGCAGAAAAATTTTCCTCAACGCTCAGAACTTTATTGAAAGTATTTGGAGATCAGCTACAGATCAAGGGAATCCAAATTTTACGTGATTGCCGTTATTAAATTATAGTAAGTTCTTATAAATGATTTTTCTTAATTTTTAAATAAAATGTCTCTTCAAAGATAAATTACAAAGAAGACATTTTTCTAACTTCAATAAATATGAATTTTATTTGATATAAAGCTATCGCTGAATACGTAAAAAGTTTGAAATCATAGTAGTTTTTATCAACTTTATTTTGATTTATATGGTATTTTCTGAAAGTATTTTTAATATTATATTTTCATTGCATCACAAATTTTATTTGGGTTATGTCTTAATGAAACCATCATAAGTTCTTACTTAGAAGTATGAGGCATCCTGAGATGGGTGTTATAAGCAAATATACATAACGTCAAACCCTTCAACTTTTGCCCCACAGTGATCAGATTTTGTTACAAAACTGATTGTTTCTCCATAAACATCAAAAATGTTATTCAAGTAGAATTTAGAGTAATATGTCAGTGTTTTTGAATGGTATTTAATGGTAAATTCAAAATGGGTATTAAACTCGATGTGTCATGATATGAGCTTATTAACTCGAAAACGAAAAAGGCATTTTTGAGGCAATAAAAGGCAAAGAAAAAGAGTTTAAACTTAGATGAATTAAGCTAAATGACCACATGATCTCTAAAAAATTATGAGGCCTACTTATTTTAAGGGTTCCAGATATTTTATAGATTATTTTTATTATTTATTTTAGCTGTTTTTGTAAAAGTCACGCTGGTTAAAATTCTGATCCAAAAATATTTTGATATGTTAGTATCCCAGCGCAGCACTACTGAAATCCACCAATTGGAAGAATTAGCGTACATATATACACCGTGTAACATAGCTCTTTGCGTAAGAAAGGGATAACCTTACATGTACACGAGTTTGCCAGATTTGTCAATTGCGCCTTAAAACACATAGAAACTATTAACGAAATTTCTGTTAATGCTTTGGTTAATAGTTGCTTTATGGAATTGTTTCACTCATTTGAAGTTTTAATCAAATTTTCTGGTTCTAAAGTTTTATTTATTGTGATGTTTTATACGTAATACATCGTTGTGACCTACATTGCTACTGTTCGCTGCAGTGGATCAAAATTTATTTTATATATAAATCTATAAATTTGGACGACTTCCTACACTACACGCGCTTACCTTTTAAAACATAAATGCGCACATCGAAGTTGATGAAGTTTTTAAATAATTTTTCACGGTACTTACTTGAAAAAGGGCACCAAAATCAATGCATATAACTTTTTTCTGCATACACATTTATTTGTCCCTGTAGGAAAAATACGAGCATAATGCTAAACATCGAATTGACAAAATTGCTTATATAATCAAAAGCTAGGGCATGACTATAATTTGAAGCGTCCTAAAATTTAAAACTTTATTTTAAGCGAGAACTGTCGTAAAAAATTAATGTGGCGAAAAGTTAAAAATTCAAATAATATATGGTTCTCTAGGCATAAGATTATAGTTAAATATTTTTGCAAAAGAGCTAAAACGTGTATGTTTGCGTTGGTGGAGAATATTGTGCTGTAGTTCTGGTTTTACCATTTTATCCGCCGACTTTTATAAAATTTCAATAATTTGTTTTTATTAATACATATTTTAATAAAATATCATAAAATGTTCTAAAATGGACTCTCGGTCGCTTGTTAACCTCCATATAACCACAT